TTCTGGTGCCTTTTTTTTCTAAGCTTTTAACACAGTTGTTGTCTAGACAAATGAGAGCAACAGGGACTTTGGTAGTTGTCTTGAAATATACTGTTACAACACAGGTTTGTGCTGAGAAGAAACCTTTAAACATCATGGAAATGGTCACTGTGAGGTTTTTCCTTTTGTATGTATTTGTCAGTCAAAATATGGGCTCACTTCTCGTATCAACTTCCAGGTGTATTTGTATCACATATCCAAAAGGATAGTTCCAAAGTAAGGGCAGGAAGGTATGAAGTAATTTTACGGTGTGTTTTCTAGAGAACCAAGAATCTAATGAGGCTAGACACTTGGCCTCTGGGATGTTAATTGGAAACACAGGGCTTAGAATTCATTGCTAAATTTTAATAGCTAAGTCAATAGTTTTCATAGTACGTTATGGTAAATATTTAGAAATATTTGCATGTGCTGGATTACTTTATATAGTGTTTGCAGCTGTATTTTACTATAGAGCTTATAAGTTTAGCAACATTACCAGTGAACAAACTATGCTCCCTTTAGCACCAAACCTGGCACAAGAAGTCACTACCCTTAAGAAAGGATAGGGTCTAGTTAAAGAGCGAAAAAGAGAAAATACACACCTTTATTTCATACTTAATATTCTACAAAGGAGAAGAGACACTATTTCTGCTTTCGAAGATGACTACGACTTTTTTTTGAAGACCATTGAACTGGCATTTTAACCTATGCTTTAAACCCATGGGAAGTCACAGTGAGAAATCATTAACTGTATCCTATTAAAATCCTTAAACAAGAGACCTGAGCTAGTCTCATTGATTGAATATCTTCTCTATTTCTAATTCAGTGTTTATCCTCATGCTCTCCTGGGGCACTTCTGAGCAAGAGATGCCCAAATGTGCACTGTGCTTGGCAGCTCTCTATCAGCACCTGATCTAATGCCATCAACTAATTGTACTGAGAACCGTAGCTTAGAGTATTTTGAAGTTCATTTGCTTTTTTAAAAACCCACTTACTTAATTAAGCAAGGGAGTAAGATTTTCTGACTTATTCCCAGTTCTTTAAAACAGTAAAACATCACCAGTATTGACTGAATTTATCCTTTGGTAAGCTAACTTATGCTAAATTGAATACTTTCAAAACCAAAGATATCTTTTGATGTAGTGAGTCGTAATGTATTAATGTAAAATATTTTCAGGGAGGATCACATACAATATATAGACATGAAAGAATATTTATATTTAATGTTGTATGTCTATTCTGTTTATCTGCAGATCTTTAAAAATCCTTTCTGTGCACCTTCTTTGTGGCATGTTCCCATATACATTACTTCTATCATTGCCCTCCCCAGCCCTGTCCCAGCATTCTGAATCAGGAACATATTTGTGCTGTCTGTTAATTCATAAACGTTTCTCTTGTCAAAGTCTGATAAGATTATTATTGCTCTCTGGTGGCATTTCATTCTTAGCACAGTGAAATCTCTTGTACTTGTCACTAGAGTTAGAATGAAAATTTTACATGGGCAAAGAGATGGTGTAGGGATGAGATTGCACAGGGAAAGTCTTTGCAGGGAACTTTTGTTTCAGTTAAGTTTTAAAGTAAAGCAGCTTTCTGATGTTTTATTTTTTAAGGCAGGGATTTTTTTAAAAATAAATTACTCATTGATCATAGAAGTTACATTATTTTTGCTGTGCTGGAAAGTATTCAGTATTCTGAGTGATGTCAGATATTGAAACCCCAACTTTGATGGCAAGATTTCACCAAATCAAATTATTATATGATGGTAAAATAGTGATTTTACTATGCATGAGAGCCCATGAAGTCATTGCCTTCCCAATCGCTCCATCAAAAAAAGAGGAAGGATTTAAGGAATACTGTGGGGCAGGGGGACTCCAGCCCCTTGAAAGAGGCTGCCTGCAATTACCTTACCTGCCAGCTTTCCAGCAAGATAAATGGAAGCACTGTAGCTTGAAGGTGCCTTGGTTAGAATGAGATGCAGTAAGGTCTCTCTGTTCTTTACAGGCATCATAGATCTGATAGTACTTATAAAAGAAGAATAGAGCTGGTGCCCTGCTGACTAAATTGTCCTCTAGAGGAGTATTAGTTACAGAGCTTCTTTGTTAACTAGGCTGAATGTTTAAACCACTGTTGAACTTCTTTTATTAGCATGTTTTAAGATAGCTCTACATATGGATACCCTAAGTATCTGCGGGGCGGGAATATTTCTGCATAATTTACATATAAAAGTTACGTGTGTGTATAACAGTAATATAATAATTATATCTTTTTATTACTCTTCTGTTACACTGAGGTCTAGTCAGTGCTGAAATTCTGATGACACATGAACAGGAAGAAAGCCACTGTTTTTATATTTTTCTCTTGGTATTTCCTTGATCAGCTTGTTGAATAACAGAAATGTTTTTGATGCCTTTGCAGCTTGAGTCAAGCTCTCTTAACACCCATCCATGTCACTTTTTCAGCCGTAACGTGGAATTTTAAGTGAGAATGGGGAAGGAACCTATAGGTTGTGCAGAGAACTACAAGAATTTCAAAGTAACATACTGTTTTTTATGAAGAGATTGCATAAAATTATTTAACTATCTGGTGATGATTTTTTAAAAATCAAATCTATGTTGTGTTTTCTGTTTAACTCAATAAGTAGTAAAACAGAAAATGGTTTTATAGCTAGTTATCTACAAAATTTTTTTTCTCTAAAGAAGCATGAAAATCGTATTTCCTTGCAACTGATTCCTGTCTGATTGACCCTTACTTATTAGTAATAGGCATTTGTAGGTATTATATAAGCATCTAACTCATGGAGGCCACCACCCATTCTTACTGAAGACTCCCTGAGTTTTATGATCTCTTCAAAATGGTAAAATTGTATCTGGTTCTCAGTATTTTTCAGGTGGATGTTTAGTAATGGAGTAAGTTCCTGTTCTTATTAAAGCTTGTACATATCATGATATATAGTAAAGTCTTTGTGCATTTCAGCTGAAGCCTGTCCTGATTCATATTTTCCCCCCAAGAAAGAGGCAGAGGCAGAGGCAATAGAGACAATACTAGTGTAGGTGGTTTCTTGAACCGGGGGTCCACAAACGTTTTCCCTAGGGGCCAGATAGTAAATATTCTCAGCTTTGTGGGCCACACGGTCTCTTTCATAGCTACTGTTGTTGAACCCAGTAATGAGGTTAAATACAAAGCTTCGCCAGCCGAATATGCGCAGAGTCTTGCATCGTGCATCTCATGTGCACTTAGCAGAAATGTTTATATATTTTATCTCTGAATTCTAAAAATCTGATTCAATTTACTCCATTTTATTTTGGATATTTGATGATACCTTTTCTAGGAGTAATATTTTCAATCTACCCTGCTCCCGTTATGTTATTTTTTATAGGCACTATTATTTGACATTGAAGGTTTTATAGAATGAAGGTACTAACTATTTTACTTAGATGTTATTCTTCTTAGCAAAAGACATTTTGTTTTTCTATAGCATTTATCTTCTTATGAGGTTCTCATCAGCTATACCTTGGAATGTATTAATCTACATTTGTAATCATTGACAATTTTGCTGTTAAAAAAGAAGTTAATTATATACAATAACAGATAATCAACAGATAAACTGCCCAGGGGACTAGGATCCTAATCTTGCATTTGCTTTGTGACATTTTAGAGCACTTTAAAGAGCTGTAACCAGCTCTTTACCTTACTTCTTAGGTACTTTCTGTTCCAGATTTATTCTTAGAATTTTAAGCATCTTCCTCTATCAGTTTTCAAAGCCCTAGTTTGAAAAGTCTCAGTAATAAGCAATGAGGCAAAATTAAACATTAATAAAATTGAATGAGTGGAGGGTATCTGTTAGGATTGAATATGCCTTGTAGACAGTAGCATAGCCAGGCATTTCTGATTCCATTCCGTACTAGTTAGTCTTAGATTACCAGGACAAATATCTTTTATACTGCAACTTCTAGAACGCATTCAGCATCTAGCTTTCAGTCTTGATTGCATTTGCAGCGTTGGTGACCTGGGAGTGCAGTCATCAGAGCAGGCCTGCGCTGATTCACTGAGCATGTGCGGGCGGCGGCCCCCGTGGTAGGCCGTGGAGCACAGCAGTGAAGAAGGCCAAGATAGGGTCTCTGTCCTCACATTCTGGTGAGGGTGCGGAAGGTAGTTTCCTCCTTTCTCTTCTCTCATCTTCCCTTTATCATCTTTAGCACCTGCATTCTGTCCTCAGTAGTGTAATCTTCAACAATAACTTTGACTCACTGAGCTTCAGTTTTCTGTACCTATCAAATGGGGATTTTAATAACTGCCTCAGAAAGAATTATGATAAAATTAGATGGCATTAATAATGTAAAACTGATATAAAAAGTAAGGTGTAACATTAGGACCCACTTCTGCTAACATAATTTCAAAGAGATTTATTTTCATAGTATCATGTAAAAATACACATATCACTATTTTATTGTAATGGCATTTTGCAGTTACTCAAAATCTAAGAATTTTCTCACCACAAAGTTTGGTTAAAATTGTGACTGCTACTAATTAGAATACCCTAGTTTGAAATTCAAACAGTCCACCAATATTGAATTCTAAATAAAAGGACTCAAAGCCTGTGGTTTTCTAGTAATTGTTTAAGAATCGGGCACTTTATTCCTATGGTAAGTGACCAGGTAGAGTGGGGTCTGTTTTGTGTGGCACTTTGAGCAGCTATAAGGGACTAAGTGCTGACAGTTGATGGCACACTGAACAAGGATGGTTTTATGAAAGAGAGGTACAGCTTTACTCCTTTTTTAGGAAATAGTCAAGACCTTATGGGTTCAACTTATGAACAACCTCATCAAAGTCTTCTAGTGAAAAATGGCCATGCTCTGAATTTTGGGTCCAGAAAACCTTCATCTCCGAAGGGGGCACCGTTAGGATTTTCAAATAGTCTTTGATCAGATATGGGTCCAAGTGCGTGTTACTCTATAAATACACACTTTCTCTTTCTTTCTCAGGATCTGTCAGGCTCCATCGACGACCTCCCCACGGGAACGGAAGCAACTTTGAGCTCAGCGGTCAGTGCATCCGGGTCCACGAGCAGCCAAGGGGACCAGAGCAACCCAGCTCAGTCACCTTTCTCTCCACACGCATCCCCTCATCTCTCCAGCATCCCAGGGGGCCCGTCGCCTTCTCCTGTTGGCTCTCCTGTAGGAAGCAACCAGTCACGATCTGGCCCCATTTCTCCCGCAAGTATTCCAGGTATTCACTTTCTTAATTATTATCCTTTTACTGTGTAATAAAGACAGATGTAGTATTGATTCACAGCAACTCACTTTCCATTACTCTATTTTGCTATTTAAAAACCTAGTGACAGGACCATGCAGTAAGAGTATAACTGAATTCTCACCAAAGTATACAAGAGTCTTAGTTCCTAAAGATATTCAACAAATGAATACAACCACCCATTTAATAAAATGACCAGTTACTTTGATATTTCAGTTTGTACATTAACCTTGAGTAGAAACACAAAATTATTTATCTTAACAATATGTTTTGTAATGATTCTGTTAAACAAGGTCCTCTGTTGATGAGTGCCACTTAAGTGAGATTTTTGACTAGTATTGGCCTTACTTTTCATAGTTTTGTTTCATATTTGCCACAGCACTTATTTTCTGATACATTTTTAGGGTCTGTACTTTTCAGAGTCTGATCGCGTGCAGACACTGACAGGCACCAGAACACGCTGGAGGCATTCTTACTGATTCGAACCCTTGCGCCCTTCTGGTACAAGGAGTTCATGTTCCAATTAACTTCTGTGTTCAGTTATTTTAGTTGTCATACATCTAGCATATATTCTACCTCCTTACTATGTTCTTGAGATTATTTATTTGGTTATTTATTTGTCAGTTGCTTCATCCTCACCCAACTTTCTTATATCAGACTTGATTTAAACCCACCAAGCAAGTAGCTTTCCTTTGCTACCAAACTAGATAGAATTTTGAGTGTAAGTTTACTCGCGTGATATAGGTGGCTGACGGAAAGCACTTTCTACTAGCTTATCAGAGCGGATATTGAATTGCTAGTAAGTTTTCTGATAATTTATTCTATCCTCTCAAAATCATGGGTGGTAATTTTAGCCCTTTTACCATTTTACCTCTTTTATATTTAAAAAAAAATTATTATTGTGGAATATTTAGAATGTCGTGTGTGTGTGTGTGTGTGTGTGTGTGTGTGTGGCGTAAGGCCACTGCATTGAGCCTAAATCTTAACTATCTTTGCTGAATGTGAAGTTATATAGTATCAAATCATATAAATGTGACAAATAGACTATTTCTTAATGTTAGTGTTATTCTAAGAAGAATCGCCTCTTAGAAAATCCGATAGCGATTTTGGCATTTGTTCTCCTTTCTCCCAAGTGGAATTGCAAAGAACATTTTAATTAGATGTTCTCAATCATCTGATACTGGCTTTGGAACCTTGAGGAAGCTTCTAAGTCTCTCTGTGCCTTAGGTTTTGCATCTGTAAAGATAATAACCACATCTTGTAGGGTTGATGTAAAGATTAACTGTGTTTCTACACATGAGACAGTACCTGGTAAGCAGTCAGTGCATGTTGATTATTATTATTGATGCAATCACAGTTATTATTGTTTTTTAGGCTGAGACCTAGAGATTTGACTATGATAATTACTATCCAGAGTACTGCGGTTGTTTTGGCAGCTAGTCTTCTGATTTATAATGCAATGGTGTTTTTGTACAATTCAGAAGACATGTATATCAAGTTTCCAGTAATGATTTGCTGTGTTTACTGAGGTTATCCAGTAGGACTGCTAGAGCTAGCCATAAAAGCATAATGTATTTTCACAAAGTTGAATTCCTTTTTCTTCTAACTAGAAAAAAAAAATGATGAGTCCACAGTTGTTCTTTGTAGGGATTGGGCCTGAGAAGATTAAGAGGAAGATTAGAAAACAAGGGGAAGATAAGACTGTACCCCAGAGATTAACAGGATTTTTGCTGTTGTCTCTATACATAAAAATTTTAGCTGGACATTTAACCTCTGCTTCACTTAGCTCAGAAGCAAATTGATTTCTGTGTGATGGGCAGGCAGTCTAGCATAAAATTTAACAATAGATGCAGTTCAAAATTCCAGATTATTTCTTACTCTTTTTGCCTGTACAGAGACAACATCAACTAACCGTGAGCAGTACTTCCCACTCCGTGGCTCTAGATAGGGCTACCACACATGAACAAGTTGCCTGTTGCACAGGGATGTGGGGCTGAAGGTGAATGGGGGTTGAGATCCAGCCCGCTCTCTTGTGGGAGGGGGCACCGTTTCTAATGCATACAGAGGAGCCGCCTGCTCTCAGCAACCCTGTCCTCGACCTTTGGGGAGTGTCCATGGCTTGAATCCAGGTATTACCCATTTTTCCTCTCTCTCCAGCTGTGCCTAGGGACATTTCGATGTAAGTTTTTGGTAGATGCTCATCAAAAATTTTATATGGTGCTGTTTTGATGGAATGTATTAAAAAATCATGACTTGTTTTTGTTAAAGAAAAAATTATCTTCTATTTCCATTTCTCTCTACCTAGCCACTATGTCCTTTTAAATTTTTTTTTAAATCATTTCCCTAAAATCTGTATTCTTATTCTCTGGGAAGTATTAAATGTATTGAATTACCTAGTTTACATTATATTATGTATTTGTGTGAACTTGGTCATAAGTAATAAAACTGTACTCTGGAAAGGTTTGTAAAGTTGATATTTGGGGTTTGTTTTTTATTTACTTTTACCTAAATGCAAATATACCTTCCTTTAGAGAATAATTAAGCCTGTTTTCCTCCTTCTTTTCCCACCTCTAGTCCTTATGTTTAAATTTGGTTGATCTGTACGTAAGATCGTAAAATAATCCGTAGTCTACCTTCATTTGGTTCTGAGTCTATACTAGTGAAATTCAGGTGCTCAAATGCCATGTGGCGATTGTGTGCTTTCCCAGGGCATGGTGCTCAAACTGCTGCTTCGAGATCTCTATTAGGAACTGCCCTTCATTTTTCTATGTGTAGCCTTTTGCTTCCTTCTCTGCCCTCCTTCCCCTCATTGCCAGCACTGACTTGTTTCTGACCTCTCTCCTCTCCAGTTACCTCCTGCTCTGTCTTGCTGCTGCCTCTCCATACCTCACAGATTGGCTCTTTCAATCACTGTCTCTCTAGCCAGTCGTTGTAAAATGTGCAGCTGTTGTGTAGCTGATAGGTGGGATGAGGTAAAGCCAAAATATTTTGGGGGATTCTTCCTGGTGTTGCTTTCCCAGGATTTGTTGGAAAAGAACAATCATTTTTCTCCATCTCTGCCCTGGTAAATGAAATTGACAGCTAATGAGAAGTGTCACAAAGGTAGATAAACAAAGCCCAGTAAAGCATCCCAAATGGCTGATTCTCTTTCATGCCTGTTAAACCGTGCCTCTACCCACTGCATATTTGCTCCCCTATCTTGCTGCCTCACAAACATGGGGAGTGTCATGGGAACAGCTACTGTGATACACTGGTACAACACTGGCCCTGCCGGGTCCCTAACACAGCAGGACTCTTCCTTCCTGCATTCCTTTGAAAAGCAGGATGGAGATTTTCTATGTTAAGTCGCCACATGGATTCTCTCCCTTTGTTTGCACATTACTGGACTCCAGCCTTGCCGCTTCTGTAGTTGGAAGGTAAAGAATTTGGGCCTGGTCGTTTAACCAAGCATTGAGAAGAGAAACGTGTTTGTTGTCCACTCTCCTTGGTGCCATTATAAATTTTCTTGTTTTTTAACTTATTCTTTCTTCTTCATAGTGATGTATTTATATTTAGAGACAGAGTGAAATATCTCCATCTTTCTAATCAGTAGTGTTTATATATATGCTGTAAATTAAGCAGATCTAATATCTGGTACAGTTAATTCTAAAATGTATGGTATTAAACTTTATGTTTCTCTTCTTATAAAGGATACCATCCCATCACACTTTTGCTTCCTGGGTTACATCCTGGAGTTACTTACTTTGGTTTAAGGAGAGCTGCCAGGTTCTGAATGTGTCATGTGGGTCTTAGGCTGAGTGTAATTCCCCCTAACGTGTGGTGGAAGCTGACTCAGCACAAATCAGAATGCACTGCTGTTGCCAGAAGACTCAGTGGATGTTAATTTTACTTCTCTTGCCTCTAGAGCCAACCATTCCAGTTTACTAACAAAGCAAAAATGTAAATAAGCTGAAATTTTTTAATTTTTATTTCGCTGGCCAAAGGCTTTTGTCAGCTTTTTCCTCCATGTGCTGTAAGGAACAGCAGTGTTTAAATATTAAGAAGGGTGAACATACACAGTGGGGTGACGGTGTGGGCAGGCAAGTATTAACTGTTCATAGTCCAGTGAACACTTTGTCTATAAAACCTTACATGTTCAGACTGTGATGATAGTTCATCCATTTTGTTAATGAAGATCTGTCTACGAGTGGTAACTGTAAATTCCTGAACAGACTTTTTCCCCACATTTTTTGGCATTTGCCATTTTGTACCAAGTCCAGTTTTAGGTGGAATTAAGTCACTTTCATCTGGCAGCAGAAGGCTACTGATTATAATTAGAACCAAAACTACAAAATTAGGTGTTCACATCAGCACCGTAACATGGTACTAAGTGTTTATCACAGGAAGTCTAATCAGAGGCAACGTTGTCCCAGCCGATATAGACAGAAACAAAATGGAGTTGCATCAAATATGAAAATGGAATTCCTTTTCTTCTTAAGTTTATATACTTTGCTGTTTAGGGCAGCTCACCTCCCACCTGGCCTCTCTGCAGATTGACCGCTGGCTGGATGGAAGCGAGGGATGGTCAGGTGGTTTCAGAGCTGAGACTGTACAGGCAGGAGGCCTAGGTTGGGAGGAATCTTTCACTCACCTTCCAGCCCTCACTGCTGCCATCTTTCTCTATGCCTGTCTCCCTCCTCCTCCTCGCTTTCCTCCTCCCCAGCCAGCTGCCCCCACCCACCCAGTGAGTTCCTCCGGGAGGGAGCGGCCTTGGGGAGCCTCTCCGCAGTGTCAGAACATGGTGCCCCTTTGCTGTCCCGGCAGATAACTCAGTTGCTGTCCTTTGAAAAGGATCACAGGTGTTACAAGCCTGTAGAAGTGGCGTAGCCAGAACTAGCCCTCCCACACTCATGAAGCACCAGTTACTCTGAGTCGAATTCTCTGAAGCCGTATCATGTCCGTTCCTAGATGGTAAGAGATGCATTGAGCATACCAGC